GACAGTAAAGTACTTGCTGTTATCCTATTCTGTCTTCTTTTCCTAACACATACTGGGGGACATAGCCGGCGTTGACAAAGGAACACACTAGATTACAATAACGGTTTAACCAAAGTTCTCCTCAAAGTATTTGAGAAATATTTTTTTAGAAGCTGTCTAATCGAACTTTCCCCCAACTTCTACGTGGAATTTAAAAAGACAACTGACCTTTCCAGAAGTAACTAGGAGATAGGCAATAATTTAAAACACTTATTGCAGCTCTGTCCTTCTGAAACTTCGGGATATGTGCGCGAACTAAATTAAGAAAAAGACGGGATTCGAAAGGTAATTCTGTACTATTCTGTACAATTCATACTTAGTTACTACAACAGCCTGTAAATGGAGAGCATTTCTTAATAATTTAAGATATGTACTCTGTAAAATTAACCAGGTTACAGGCAATTGATCCCAAAATCCTAAAATATATCCGGCTGTTTATCATGTGTGAAAACTGCGCAATTTCGTTGCTGTGTTTTGACATAATACGTGATCAATTTGTCTAAGAGATTTAAAAACTTCTACTAAAGCAAAGAACACACTACGGCAGCACTCAATGTTTATCGTGCAACAACTAAATATGCTAACTGAACAAAATATAATTTGTTTTGACTATATTTTAAGAGCATTGGGATAGAAGTCACGACATGCAAAGGAACTCCACCCTAACCTCCAAGCAGCGTATTGCTTCTAATAAGTAGGAACATAGGCAGAGTACTTTGATGTGCGGATAGAGCCTAACATTTCAATTTGTTCAGACAAACCAATTCTCACCTGTGGCCGAGGGACCATTCGGCCACCATAAAAGACACGTTTCGACTGGTGCTAAATGGTTTTTACACTTTTTAGTTTAGTTTTTGTTTAGCATTTTGAGAACAAAAATACAAAAACATAGGGGCCAAAACACCACACCAAACCGTACCATAGTTTTCTCTTCTTCTTTCTTCCGAACCATGAAAATCGAGTTGGGGATGAAACCTGAGCAAGAAGGAAAGGAAAAAGGTTAGCTGTTATTATGACGATAATAAAGGAGTTTGTTTGTACCTTTGTCCAACCGATGAAGAAGTCCTGGTCTACGCCTATAGACCTTAAATATACCGAAATATACCACGAACAGAAATTAATTTCTCAGGAGATTAAAAAGCGGAACTTCAAACCCGGTATATCAACCAGAAAGCAGATAGGGAAAGCTGGGGGACCCACTGATGACGGTATATTAAACAGAAAGCAGATAGGGAAAGCTGGGCGACCCACTGATGAGCCGGCATCAACCAGAAAGCAGATAGGGAAAGCTGGGCGACCCACTGATGAGCCGGAGTACTCCTCGCAGCTGTGTCGAGTAGCGGCAAAATACCGGTTAAACACGTATCTGGGCCTCTTAGCAAGTACCTAGGCTGTTAGTATGGTAAGTTACAACATCAGTTTATACTACTAAAAACTGTCTGACGGCAGCAGGTGTATATTTCACAGGGGTTGATGGGTTTCAAAACAAATATACGCTTATAATTTCGGTCTACGCTTATAGACCTTAAATATACTGATGTATACGGCAAACAGAAATTTATTTCTCAGGAGATTAAAAAGCTGAACAGTCAAGGTACTCCCTACACAACCTGTTGTACGAGACTCAGAAAGCTATGGGAGTCCTCACTCATATACATGAAAGATTTGTATTGTGCTAAAGTTAAACAGGATAAAACATTAAAACTTCGCTAACGGGCGTCCATCTTATAGATGCTGTTTATGAGTCTTTCTGTGCCTGAACCTCAATTAAAGACCGTAGACGAGGTCTGCATGTATGGTGAGTAACTGCGAACTAGTTAACTGGGCTTTCCAAACTGACTTGATTCAAATGCACTGATAGTTAAATATATAAAGAAAGAAGGTTTGTCGGAAAACTGAGTTTTTCTCGTGAATGTTCAAGCAGGTAAAACCGGCCCAACGTCAGACGAAATGGAAAGCGAGGGACTGGGATTATCGCACTCGAGGGTTTGGGGGCAGTTGTTACATCGAGCAGGGGAGGGGGGTTAGGGTAACGTAAATCATGCTGTGATAGGTGCTGCAAATGAGGGGGTGTGTGCATTCTTAGATTGTGGGCCACGTGTCGGGAACGTTATATGCTTGAAAATTCACGTGTAAAATCCAGTTATTAAACAGTTAAATATACATCAGTAAAATAGGGTTTATCAAAATCAGGACTTCTAAAATGACAATTCTATTTGAGGGTACTTAAAGTTGCGGCATTGTCAACCAAATGGAAGATAACGCCCACAAGAATATACGTAATTTCACGTTAAGTTGATCTTTTCAGCTACTTTTTGTTGAAAAATGACCTTACAATTTTAACGACCGTGATCGCGGAAAATGTGCCTACGGGTGCCTTCTGCTTCAAGAATTGCAGCCAACTGAAGTCTACCGTTTGAAGTATTTCCAACTATTAGTTACAAAATCCTAAATTCCCTCTGCATAATAAATAGAGGTACAAAAGTTTACACGTTAACGGTTTGGTTTTTACGTAATTTGGCTTCATTAGGTTATACTCCATCAGATTGAATTGTTTGGATTAGAATGCCCAACTATCCAAGAAGCTTGGTTCGAGTATGCATTCGGCGACAAATGGGCCATAAATATTTCAGTTTAAATTACATTTTTGGGAACGCCTCGCAGAGTTTTCTCTATTTTTCAGTGAGTATTCGTGGAATGCTCTGTGTATATTAATTGCCCTAGTGGTAGTCTCTCTAGGTGCATTTTCGTCGAATGCTCCCATTGGTCGTTACTTAACAACTATCTCCTTCCCCCAAAACGACCCTACTCGAGTACTTTGTACCTATTAGTCGGAATCCCACATCAAAAACGGAAAATTCCTGTTCGTCCTATTAAGTAAAAGGGCATGAGTGAATGATTTTGCATCGTTTCATTGACTTCCTTGGAGAAACAATTTTCAAATTTGCGGGAGCTACCTATAGAAGATATCGTATTACTACGAATACGAATCAACAGATGAGTGAGTGTATATTTGCCTGTTTATATTCCTGATCTTTGGCATTGAAAAGGGAGATGGCTGGTTGCATGAAGTCAACAAAACGCCAAAAAGTACAAACTACATTCAAATATCCGTTCGGTGCCCCTGCTTCACTAAACTGGATCATAATGGGTAAGATAAGATTAATTTTTGTCATAAGAGTATTCCGGCTCAGAAAATGATAAGATTAATTACTTTTAGTTTACACTAACAAAAATATAAGGAATAAAGAGCTAATACGTAAGGTCAAAAGAGGCCAAACTAGGTAAGGAGGTAAAGGCTAAAAAAAAAA